GGGAGGGAGGGGGGTTAAGATGTGTGGGGGGGTAGGGAAGGAAGGTGGTTTAAAATGGGGGGGGGGAGTAGGGAGGATGAATGTATTAGGCTGTGGGGGGAGGGGACGGGGATTAAGATGTAGGGGGGAGAGGTGGTGGATGTTGGGCTGTAGGGGAAGGGAAGGGGAGGGAAGGGGGTTTAAGATGGGGGAGTAGGAGAGGGGGAGGGGGCTAAGATATGGGGGAGGGGAGGGAGGGGGTTAAGATATGGGGAGGAGGAGAGAGGAGGGGTGGGTGATAGGATGTGGGGGAAGGGGAAGAGCGGAAGAAGGATGAGGGGGGGGGGGAATTGGGCTTACAAAGACTCTTAACAGCCTACCGTGATTTGTTGTTAATTATAACTGTTGTTTTTTCACACTTGGATTATTTGTATCATTGTCATAGTTGCTATCACCATTGTTATTATTGATATTAATCTTATTATTTATCACTTTTGTTGTTGTTGTTGTTGCTGTTACTATCATTTTTTTATTATCTTCATCATTAACATTTACTTCTGATCGCTACAGCTACTACTACTACTACTATCATCACTATCATCATCATCATCATTTAACTATTACTAGCCATCATCTCTATATCACCAATACAGCTACTACTACTACTTTATCATCATCATCATCCTCATCACTACCACAACTACTACTACTACTACTTCTACTACTATTACTACTACTATCATCCCTATCATTCTCATCCCTGCTATTACTACCATCAACTCTATATCATCATCTTTATCACCATCACCAACCCTCTTCCCATCTCCACTGATAATTTTTTTTACGCACCTAATATATCCAAACATATTTTTTCCCCTTTTCCTCATCTTACCAAAGAGCATATTAGGGACATGATGAACCTTACCTTACTAACGATGGGGCTGTTAGAGGTAATTACGGGCACAAATGAGTTGGCATTGGCTTGTTAACTCCTGACGAGGGGGGGGGGGAGGGAGTTTAAATGAGGAGGGGGGTAGAGGAGGATGGGGGAGAGGGAGAGGGAGGATGGGGGAAAGGGAGGAGGGGGGGAGGGGGAGAGGGGAGGAAGGGGAGAGGAGGGGGAAGGGAAAGAGGGAGAGTTTAAAGGTGGACTAGAGGGGGGGGGAGGGTTTAAATGAGGACAGGGGGAGAGGGGGGAGGAGGAGGAGGAAGGGAGGAGGAGGAGGGAAAGGGAAAGGGAAAAGAGGGGGAAGGGTAAGAAAAAAAAAAGGATAAAGGGAGGAGGTAGACGTAGAAAAGGAGATTTCAGGAGGAATGAGAGAGGAGGGAGAGGACGCAAGAAAGAAGAGGGGAGGGAAAAAAGGATGAAGAGAAAGTGGAGAAAAGAGAGAGAGAGAGAGAGAGAGAGAGAAGAGAGAGAGAGAGAGAGAGAGAGAGAGAGAGAGAGAGAGAGAGAGAGAGAGAGAGAGAGAAGAAGAGAGAGAGAGAGAGAGAGAGAGAAGAAGAAAGAAAGAGAAAGAGAGAGAGAAAGAAAGAGATACAAAACGAAAGAAAGAAAGAGAAAGAGAGAGACAGACAGAGATAGATAGACAGACCAAGAAAGAGACAGGAAGGAGCGAGAAGGGAGTAAATCTGTAATTGAGACATATAAAGACAGACGGGGCGCGACTTTCCTGAAATAGAGACGTATGGGTAAACTTTTATTTTTTCTTCTTCTTGTACTTTTCTCTCCTTTTTTCTTATTCTCATACTTGTGTTATTTGTACGTGACCTTACTTTTTGCCCTTACAGATAGAGGTAGAAAGATAGATAGATAGATAACGAAGAGAGGACAGGGAGGAGAGGGAAGAGAGAGAGAGAGAGAGAGAGAGAGAGGAGAGAGAGAGAGAGAGAGAGAGAGAGAGAGAGACGAGAGAGAGAGAGAGAGAGAGAGAGAGAGAGAGAGAGAGAGAGAGAGAGAGAAAGAGAAGGAATAAAGAGAAAGAGAGATAAAAAGAAAGAGAAAGGAGAGAGAGAGAAAAAAATATCGAAAGCAAAGAATAGAAAAAAAATCACATAACGAAAGAAGAAAGGGACGGCAGTAAGGCAGAATACACGGGATCTAAAACAGAAAATGAATAATAAGAAAAAGAATAAAGTCATAAAGAAAGAGAAAACGAAAAGAGACAAAAGAAATATACGAAAAATCCAAACTGCATTCGACGAACTCATTGAGGAGAAGAGAGGGACGGAATGGAAAGGGGAGGAAGGGGAAATGGAATAAAAATGCGAAAGAGGGCTATAACATTAAAAGGGGATGAGGGAAAAAACGCTATAGAAGAAGAATGAAAGAAAGATCAAAGTTAGAGATAATATTATGAGGAATGGGTGGCTGATTCGACCTTCCTCTGCCTCCGTCCTCTCTCTCTCTCTCTTTTTCTGTCTCTCTATCTCTTTCTCTCCCTCGCTTTCGCTCGCTCTTTCTCCTCATCTCTCTTCTCTCCTTTCTCTTTTCTTTCTCCCTCCTCTCTCTCTCTCTCCTCTCTTCTTTCTCCCTCCTTTCTCTCTCTCTCTCTCTCTCTCTCTCTCTCTCTCTCTCTCTCTCTCTCTCTCTCTCTCTCTTTCTTTCTTTCTCTCTATCTCCCGTTTTTCTCTTTTATCCATTTGAGGGAAATAGCTGCATGACGGGTGAAATAAAAAGTGTGAAAATAGTTGTCTGGAAGTTAAGAGGCCCATCAGAGAGAGAGAGAGAGAGAGAGAGAGAGAGAGAGAGAGAGAGAGAGAAGGAGAGAGAGAGAGAGAGAGAGAGAGAGAGAGGAGAGAGAGAGAGAGAAGGGAGAGAGAGAGGAGAGAGGGAGAGAGGGAGAGAGGAGAGAGGGAGAGAGGGAGGAGAGGAAGAGAGGGAGAGAAGGAGAGAGAGAGAGAGAGAGAGAGAGAGAGAGAGAGAGAGAGAGAGAGAGAGAGAGAGAGAGAGAGAGAGAGGAGAGAGAGAGAAGAGAGAGAGAGAGAGAGAGAGAGAGAAGAAAGAAGAGAGATGAAAGAGAGAGAGATGAAAGAGAGAGAGAGAGAGAGAGAGAGAGAGAGAGAGAGAAGAGAGAGAGAGAGAGAGAGAGAGAGAGAGAGAGAGAGAGAGAGAGAGAGAAAGGGCAGGAAAAAGAAGAAGGCAGAAAGATAAATGAACAGATAGAGATAGAAATAAATAGATCGATAGATATAGAGACAAATACATAAATAAATAGCTAAATAGACAGACAGACAGATAAAAGAGAAAGAGAGAGAGAGAGAGAGAGAAAGAGACGAAGAGAAACGAACGAAACAGTCAAAATACACGGAAATATAAGCGCAAAGCCGCACGCACGTACAGCAAATCTGCATAATCTGAAACAACGCGTTCGGTGGGTGGGTGGGTGTTGGGTTGGGGTTGGTGGGTGGTGGGGTGGGTTGGTAGGGTTGAGAGGGTGGGTTGACAGGGTGGATTGAGTTAGGGTGGGTTGGGTTGGGTAGGGGTGGGGTGGGTTGGGTGGGTTGGGGGGGGTTTGAGAGGTGGGTGGGGTGGGGTTGGGGTGGTTTGGGTGGTTAGGGTGGGTTGGGTAGGGTTGGGTGGGTTGGGGTGAGTTGGGGTGAGTTAGGGTGGTTGGGTAGGGGTTGAGAGGGTGGGTTGGGGTGGGCCATGGGTGAGTTAGGGTGGGTTGGGTAGGGGGTTAAGAGGGTGGGTTGGGATGGGGTTGGGTAGGGGTTGAGAGGGTGGGTTGAGTTAGGTGGGTTGGGGTGGGCCAGGGGGTTGGGGATAGGTAGGGGTGGGCAGTGGGAGGGGTGGGACAGTAAGTTGAGTTAGGGTGGGTTGAGGTGGTGTAAGGGGGTGGGGTTGAGGTAGTTGGGTTGAGTTAGGGTGGATTAGGGTGGTTTGGGTTGGGGTAGGGGGGTGGGGTTGGGCAGGGGATTCAGAGGGTGGGTTGCGTTAGGATGGGCCAGGGTGTGGGGGTGAAGTAGTGGGGTTGAGGTTGGGTAGCAGGTAGGAGGTTGGGGTGGGCCAGGGGGTGGGGGGAGAAGGGATAGAAAAGCAAAAAAAGGGGTTAGAGAGGGGAAGAGGTTTAAAGGGGGATAGAAAAGTAGAGAGGGAGTTGAGAAAAGTAAAGAAAAGTGAAGTGAGAAGAGAAGTGATAAACAAGGTTGAAAAAGATAAAACAATACAAAAATAAGAAATAAAATAAAATAAAATGGGGGAAAACAAGATGGAAAGGGGAGGTGGTCGAGAAAAATGGGAGAAAGTGGAAAAAGTAAAAATAAAATAAATAAATAAATAAAACAAAAATAAATAAATAAATAAATAATGAAAAAATGTCGGAGGGAACTAGGAGAGGATCGGAGAACGAAGAGAGGAAGCAGTAAAAAAATAGATGAATAGGGAGATGAGTAGAGAGTAAACGAAAAAATACGGAAAGGAAATGGATATCAGATCAAGAAAAAAAAGAAAAAAAGGAAAAATTAAAGAAAGGAGCTGGTGAAAAAACCCACACGAAAAAACAAAGGAGGAAGTAGGGAAAGGGAAGGAAAAGAGGGGAGGGAAGTGCGAGGGGGGGAGGGGGCCAAAGGTAATCACATTAAGGAAAAGCTGTATCAGATCCCTTTCATTATCTCACGAACCCGAACTAACCAACACGTATTAGCGAACACGAATTGGCGAACCCGACCTAACCAACACGAATTAGCGAACACGACCGAACGAACATCCAGTACCAAACTCAACCGAACAAACGATATAAACGAAAAGCAAAACAAAACAACAACAAAAAACTTAATCCCACCCAACAACAAAAGAACAAACAACCAATAAAAAGAAAGCAAAACGAAACAACAAAAAACACAATCCCACCCACCCAACAAAACAAAATACCGAATACCAAAAACAGAAAAATAGACAACGAAAAAACATTTAACGAAAGAGAAGAGAGAGAGAGACAAGCGCCCAAAGATTTCAAGGATAATTTGAGAACCCCGAGCTATTATTAGAGCGAAAAGGAGGGGAATCCAGGCCAGCTGAGTCAATTAAGGCCTCGGGGAAACTGATTAAGGAAAACTGGAGGATTAAAATGGGCAGGAGGAGGAAGAGAACGGCTACTGCTGCTACTGCCAAGACTGCTAGTAATGCTACTGCTACTAGGACTACTAGAATTGCTACTGCTACTAAGACTACTAGAAATGCTACTACTGCTACTACTAGGACTACTAGCTAACTTGCTACTGCTACTAGGACTACTAGAATTGCTACTACTGCTACTGCTAAGACTACTAGAAATGCTGCTACTGCTACTAGGACTACTAGAAATGCTACTGCTACTGGACTACTAGAATTGCTACTACTGCTACTGCCAAGACTACTAGTAATGCTACTGCTACTTGCTAGAAATGCTACTGCTACTGCTACTGGACTACTAGAATTGCTACTACTGCTACTGCCAAGACTACTAGAAATGCTACTGCTATGCTACCACTAGGACTACTAGATATGCTGCTACTGCAACTGCTAAGACTAGAAATACTACTGCTACTGCTAGGACTGCTAGAAATGCTACTGCTACTAGGACTACTAGAATTGCTACTACTGCTACCACTAAGACTACTAGAAATACTACTGTTTCTTCTACTAGAACTGCTAAAAATGCTACTGCCAAGACTACTAGAAATACTACTGTTGCTGCAACTACTACGACTACTAAACATACTACTACTTCTAGGACTACTAGAAATACCACTGCTATTACTACTACTTGGACTAATAGAAATACTACAACTACGTGTACTAGAAATGCTAATACTAGAAATACTATTGCTAATACTACTAGGTCTAGTAGAAATACTTCTAATAGACCTAGGAGGCCACTAGACGTAAGTACTAGGACTAATAGAAATACTACTGTGTGTGTGCGTGTGTGCGTGTGCGTGTGCGTGTATGTGTATGTATTGTGTGTGTGTGTGTGTGTGTGTGTGTGTGTGTGTGTGTTGTGTGTGTGTGTGTGTTGGGTGTGTGTGTGAGTAGAGAGAGTGAGTGAGTGAGTGAGTGAATGAGTGTGTGTGTGAAAAGCTTTGTATAAAAAGTGCCGTAAGAACCCTGTTCAAACATGATAGCCACTTTAATTGAAAATTTAATTAACAACTATGAAGAACAACCGGGAAAAATTCGAAACCTTATATAGATTTATTATATATCTAATATATATAATATTATATATATATATATATATAGAGAGAGAGAGATGATGGAGAGAGAGATGAGAGAGAGAAAGAGAGAGAGAGAAAAGATAGATAGAGAGAGAGAGAGAGAGAGGGAGAGAAAAAGAAAAAAGATAGATAGAGAGAGGCAGACAGAGGTAAAGAGAGTAGAGAAGACACACACAGAGAGAGAAAGAACAAAAACCGCGATAAAGGAATGCGCAAGAAAGAGGTAATAACCCCAGACAAAGAGACAATCCAGGGTGAGAGAGACGACACGAAGACGAAGAAGTCCTCAAGGAGTTTATCAGCTGGGGGAGGGGGGTCTCGGGGAGGAAGAGGGAGGAGGGGGAGGAGGGTGGGGAAGGAGGGAGATGAGCGGGCAAGGAAGAGGGGGGAAGAAGGGAAGAGAGAATAGAGGAAGGAAAGGACGGGGAGGTAAGAGACGAGAGGGAGGAGGGAAAAGGGGTGGGGAAAGAAGGGAAAGAGAGTGGAGTAAGCAAAAAGGAGGGGGAGGAGGGGTAAAGAAGAGGGAGGTAAGGGGAGGATGGGAAAGAAGAGGAGGAAGGGGAGGAGGGAATTAGGTTGGACATTTAGGGGATATATTGGAGAAGGAGTAGCGGGAAGGAGGGTGATATATATGGGGAAGACTATATTGGGAATAGTATTATTTAGGAGGGGAAGAAGGGGGAGGAAGGGGAAAAGTAGATGCGAGGAAGGGATATATAATATTTTGAGAGGGAGGAGGGGATGAAGGGAGAGGGGATAAGAAGGATGGGAGGAGAGCGAGGAGAAAGAGAAGTGAGGGGGAGGATGTTGCCTGGGAAGTAGAAGAAAAGAAGTGGAGGTACGAAGTGTATATATGTTCGTCTGTTGCGATGCTCATATGCGGAGGAAAAGGTAATATATATATAAAATGATTATATATATATATGTCTAAAATATCTTATATACAGAGGAATATGGGAGAAGAGGTTGGATAATGGTATAGGAATGAATAAGGCAGAGGGAAATTAGTACGGCGGAACGGTTATATAATGATACATATAATAGTGAGATGGAGATTAAAGGGTGGTATATAACGGGGTAGGAGTCAGTATATATATATATAGCGGTGGGGTCGGGGGGTGACGGGTGAATAGGAACTCGGTCATGAGCAGGGTTGTGGGTTTTTGACTGGGGGTATATGCCAGTGTGGGGGGTGGCATATATCTATATATAATGGAGTAGGATATATTATGAAGGGGGGGGCATATGACAGGGAAGGGAGGGCATAAAAACAGAAAGTGGCGGGCATAGACAGAAAAAAGGGAAGGGGATGTGGAGGGCATAAAATATATATATATTTATGACAGAACGGGAAGGTAGCATATGGCAGAAGAAAAGGAAAGACATATGACAGTATGGGAGGGGCATTTAGGTATCCAAGGAAGGAAGATTCTTATGACAAAAGAGGGGGGGCGTCATATGACAGAAAGGGGACATGTATCTATATAGAGGAAGGGATAGAGACAAAAGGGGCCTTGAGGTAGACAGAGAGAGAGAGAGAGAGAGAGAAAGAGAGAGAGAGAGAGAGATGAATATATAGAGAGAGAGAGAGAGAACGAAGAGAGAGAGAGCAGAGAGGGGGGGGGGCGGGAGAGGGAGAGGGAGGAGAGAGGAGAGGAGAGGAGAGATGAGAGAGAGGAGACAGTATGTTAGAAGAGAGAGAGAGAGAGAGAGAGAGAGAGAGACGGAGACGAGAGAGAGATGGAGGGAGAGAGGGAGAGTGAGAGAGAAGAGATAGCGAGATAGAGAGAGGAGAGAGAGAGAGATGAGAGAGAGTGGAGAGAGAGAGAGAAGGAGTGGAGATGAGAGAGAGAAGGGAGGTGCGCGAGGAGAGAGAGAGAGATTGGGCGGAGTAGAAAAGGAAAAACATGGGGAGAGGAAGGGGAGAGGAAAACAGAAATAGGCGTAAAACAACGTGCGGAGAACACAGAAGTTTAAAAAAAGATGGTGAAAGGAAAGGAAAACAAAGAGAAGAGAAAAAACAAATCTACAATTTGAACCTCCAAAAGCATCAGTCGCGAATTCAATGGATGAAGTTGTTTGTTTACACGAACGCAGATATACACAACGCACGCACGGATTCATATTCAAAAGAAAGCATTACTATTCCCATAATTGTCTAATTCCACTATCCAAGACATGCAAACAGAATGTAAAAATATACAATAAAAAAGAATAATAAAACTTACATATTACGAAAAAGAGAAGGCAAAGAGAAAGAAAGAGAAAAGGAAAAAAAAGAGAAAAAAGAAAACCCTTTTATAAAATCCAACAAAATAAAAACTTATGTAACTCGAACGATATTTGAAAATGGAAGATTCGATAACTATCACTTTACTCATGTTTATCGTCCTATCTACTCCTTTGGAACGACGGTAGAGGAGATAATGTGAAAAGTTTTATGAAAAGAAAAGAATCCAGAGCTCTCGAAATGGAAAGAAAACATCGGCGGGGAAAAATGAAACAAAAATAACAAATGGCAACCCTTCTCCCCTGAGTCCGGTGTTGCTGCCTCGCGATCAAAGGTTAAATAAAGCGAATTAAAGAGATGAAAAGGGAATGATTGGGAAATTTGGCAGAATAAAAGGCTAAGAGAGAGAGAGAGAGAGAGAGAGAGAGAGAGAGAGAGAGAGAGAGAGAGAGAGAGAGAGAGAGAGAGAGAGAGAGAGAGAGACAGAAGGAAAGAAAACGTAAAAAAGAAAAGAAAGAAAAAACACACACACAAATAACACACAAAACAGCAAACAATATGCACAATCAGACCAACCTTGGCACCATTGTTATCAGTTAATTGGCGAATCATTAGTAAAGGTATGAGCAGATGTGATTCACACACCGAGGATGAGTGGGTGTTTGTACATGTAATTGTTTGCTCTCCTGAGTGTACACATGTATCCGTTTGCGTGTGCGTGTACCCTTGTTTATTAACTTTTCCTTTATTTGTCTGTTTATCTATTCCTCCATTCCCATATCCATCATTATAATTACCATCATTATTGTCATCATTACTTTTGTTATCGTTTTTATTATCATTATCATTAATTTTATTACTACTGCTATTTCTACCATCATTACCATGATTATTATTTTTATACTATCACCATTACTGCTGTATTTATTATCATTATTATCTTTACTATCATCATCAGTATAACTGCCATTACCAATATCATTATCATTATCTTTATTAATGCCATTACTATCATTAATATAATTTTTATTATCATTATCATTATCATTGTTCTTATTATTTTTATTACTAAAGTTTTCATTATCATTATTATAATTCTATTATTATAATTAATATCATTACTATTATCATAATCATTATCATTATTAACATTATCATTATTACTATCATTTTATTTATTATAGTAGTAGTAGTAGTAGCAGCAGTAGAAACATTATTATCATTTTCATCATCATTATTAGTAACACAATTGTCATTATCATCACCATTATCATTACTATTACTACTACAACTACTGTTATTATTATCACTATCATTATCATTAATATGATTACCATAATTATCTTCATTATCATTATCATCATCACCTTTATCAACAACCCTCATTATCAACGTGATACCACAACCATTGTAAAATCAATTTCACAATCATCATCATTTCCTACTTTTCCTAAACTTGCGTTCAAATTTCTGTACCGAGTCCTATCCTATCTATCATTTTCTGGATCCAAACGAAAAGAAAAACCTCTAATTGCTGTAGAATTGTTTCCTAATTATGTTCGTTTACAATCTAGAATCGTCAAAGGTCTAATTACCTGTTACTGGACGACAATTGTCACAAATGGAAGGCTTAATTCACATACAAAAATACATATACATAATGACACGTAAAATGAGAGAGAGAGAGAGAGAGAGAGAGAGAGAGAGAGAGAGAGAGAGAGAGAGAGAGAGAGAGAGAGAGAGAGAGAGAGAGAGAGAGAGGAAAGAGAGAGAGAAAGAGAGAGAGGAGAGAAGAGAGAGAGAGAGAGAGAGAGGAGAGAGAGAGAGAGAGAGAGAGGAGGAGAGAGAGAGAGAGAGGAGAGAGAGAGAGAGAGAGGGGGGGGGGAGAGGGAGAGGAGAGGAGAGGGGGAGGGAGGGAGGGAGGGAGAGGAGGGAGAGGAGGGAGAGGAGGGAGGGAAGGAAAGAGAGAAGAGAGAGAGAGAAAGAGAGAAAGAGAGAGAGAGAGAGAGAGAGAGAGAGAGAGAGAGAGAGAGAGAGAGAGAGAAGAGAGAGAAGAGAGGAGAGAGAGAGAGGAAAGAAAGAAATTGATAAATGTGAAAAATAGCAACAACAACATTAATATCAATTTTAATGATGGCGATAAGAATAGTAGTAGATGTTGTAGTAGCAATGATAATGAGGAGAAAAAGAGATGATGAAAGCAAAAGAGGAAAATAGAAGAAAAGAGAAAGCAGAAGACAAGAAGAAATAGAAAGAAAAAAAGAAAAAGAAACAAGGAGATAAACAAAAAGAAAGAAAAGGAAGAAAGAACATCCAGAAGAAAAAACAAAAAACAACAGAAGACTCTCTTCCCCTCCCTCACCCCCCCCCCCCAGGCTCCGGAAAACAAACGCACATCGCGTCATTCCGAGTTGCCAGAT